ACCTGCCTCTGCCTCCCGAGTGCTGGGATTACAGGAGTGCGCCACCACCGCCCGGCACTTCAATATTTTTATTAATGAATAAAATGAAACCGGGCTGCCCTGCCCCATGCCCTCTCAGCAAATGGGACACATTACCTGGAGGGCTACCAAGGTGTTGGCCAGGGCTTGGCCATAGGTATCATGGCAGTGGACAGCCAGGGCGGCCACAGGCACCTCGCGCATGACAGCAGTCAGCATGTCTTTCATGAGTCCTGGGGTGCCTACACCAATGGTGTCCCCAAGGGAGATTTCATAGCAGCCCATTGAGTACAACTTCTTGGCAACCTGGAAAAGCAAACAGATACTTGGAGGGCCTCAGAGCCACCACCAGCTTGTGACTGACACTAGGGCTCAGGAGCAGGGACTCACCCAGGCAGCTCACCTCCCGCCCTGAGGGGCTGTGTTCCTATTGGGTCCTAGAGCCTGACAACTCAGGACAGTAAGCATTACCCACCAGCTGGGAGACTGAGAGAACATTGGCAGCCACTGCTGCAGCCCTGTCTCTTCCCCTCTGCTTCCTCCACAGCGGCTGACTAGGATCAGGAAAAGCCCGTCTTTTGGCAGCAGGATCTGTAGACTGTGGGTCTAAGGTACTAGCTGTGTACTTTGTATACTTTAAAGAGCCACAGGGAACCATGAGACTTTACAGGAGCTCATCTGTAACTGGTGAGACACTGCCAAGCCTCTGCAGCCAGAGCCGCCCTGAAGGAGGCTGCCCATGCCTGGCCCTGCGCAGCGTGGAGCGGTGGCAGCAGACAGAGGTTTACTGATGATCGGCCAGACAAGTGACACAGAGACATCCTACCCGCCACCCCTCGCCCATGTGCCTATCAGGCGATAGCGGTGGCAGGCCTCTGGGGTCATGTGATGCTGAGTTCATGTCCCTCCTCTGCCGCTCCCTGGCTACCTGCTTTGAGGGTGTAACTTCTCTAAGCCTCAATTTCTGCTTTTGGGAAGTGGTGATGAGCTACAGGGAGGGCAGGTGACAACAGGGGTGGGGTGGACAGACCACGGAACAGCAGCCTTGGAGCCATTCCTCTGACTGGATGCCACAAGCTACCGGGGAGGAAGAAAAGGGCTCTGTGGGACACATGGGTGAGACCCAATCTGCCATCTGCACTCTGGGTGGCAAGTGACTTGCTTCCCTAACTGTTCATGGGAGAATGGCATCAAATTGGCAGTGAGGCTTTCTGGTTGAAATTCCTGGGTTACTCACACTCAGACTATGCTGGGTCCTCCTCCGTGTAGCCCTGGTTATTAGTCAAGAGGATGTGTGTGGTCTCTCATCTACTACAAGGAACCTGGGGACTCCTGGGGATACCAGGCTGGTGGTCAAAGCCTCAGCTGATGAGACTGGAAGCTGACTTCAGGGTCTTCAGGTGGGATAGAGACCTGGCAAGCAGGTGACCTGAGGAGTGGGTGTGTGCTGTGCTCTCAGTATATGAGTGTGCAGAGGGGGAAAAGTGTCCTGGGAAAGGGAGGTGCGGGCTCCTGTGCGTGCAGGCTGGCAGGGACACTAACACTCACAAGACTTTGCCCCACACACCTCAGCTACTTTAGCCGGGGAGACCTTCCCCTCGTAGGGGCATCCAAGGGCACAGGAGACATACCTGTGGAAAAATGGGAGGAACGGTATCAGTGCCCCCAGCTCACCGGCCATCAGGAATGGCTGGTAACCACCTGACACACATCCCTGGTGAGCCCACAGTAAACAAGCAGCTGGGCGGGAGGCCCAGTACTGGGTGAAAGGTAAGCTCTGAGTGGGAGAGAGGCTCTTTGGCCTAGTTTCCGGGCGGGAGCACTAGAGAAGCCTGCAGGAAAGGTGGAGCTAAGAGGCCAGTTCTGGAAGCAGGGTTGCAGGTGGCTGAGAATTCACAATAGGTCTAAGGAACTAGAGTGCACCTGAGCTGTCTGGAAGGGTGGCCCCATGCACTGGGGGAGATGCGCCAGGATTCAGGTCATACGCTGACACAGGTCAGCACAAGAACGGATGTGAGTCAGTAGCAAGGCTCGAGGGCCCGACAGCTCAGCCAATCATTTATTCAGTTGATGTTTCCTGAGATGAGGATGATGCCAGGCACTAGGCAGAGCAGTGAGAGGACCCATGAATGGGCCCTAGCCTCCAGGAATATGCAAGTAAAACCGTGCTCACAATAGGAGGGGAGATAATTCCAGAAAGAGGTGAGCTGTGAAGGCAGCAGCAACAGGAGGAAGCACAGGCAGCCAGTGTAGCAAGGGTGGATTAGGCAGACCTCCTTGAGGCCATGGTGCCAGAGTTAGAGAGGGGAGGGTCTTCCGGGAAGCGTGTTATAGTCAAGGCCAGAAGCTGGCATGCCCAGACAGAGAGAGCAAGGGACAGAACATCTAACTAATGCAGGGGGAGAGTCAGGGACAAAGAAGGATGACAGGAGGGGAGCCCAGGCCTGACCCGTGACAGTCTTATGGGCCATAGATGCTCTCACCACCCTGCTAGCACTGGGGCATCTTTTACAGAGTTAGGCTGACGGTGGTGGTTCAAGGCTGTACTCCTAGCACCTGGGAGGCTGAGGCAGGAGGATCGCCAGCCTTGGTGACATAATGAGTTCCAGGCCAACATGAACCTAGAGTGAGACGCTGTCAGAACAACCAAACCAAACCAAAAACCCAAACCCTGCATGCTCAAGGGAAATATTCTATATATTAAGAGATGGAGACAGGAGTGGTGGCGCACACCTTTAATCCCAATACTTAAGAGGCAGAGGTAGGGCGGATCTCTGTAAGTTCCAAGCCAGCCAGGGTTACATAGAAAGATCCTGTCTCAATAAATAGTTAGATAAATAAGTGTATAAGTCAAGATAAAAAGAGATGGAGTAATGTTTGCTGAATCAACATCCCAAAAATCTTGGTGTGCTTTCCACCTGAACTTTCCCATTCACCCTGTAAACATTGCTAAACAAGTCAAAGTGGTGTGGTGGCACATACATTTGAGCCCAGCACTCGGGAGGCAGAGACAGGCAGAACTCTGTGAGTTCGAGGCC